GGGTGAGACGCTGAATCAAACGCGTCTTAGATCCCAGCTGGAACAATACCAAATGTTTATTGTGGCCCGTTAAGATGCTCCGCGCATTTAAAATGTTCGTTTTTTGCGTGCATTATGTTGTAATAATGAGTATTCTGACCATGTTCTGCAGCAATAAATACATTGGCATTGGAACGATACCTAATACCTATCCTTGTTTAGTTGAATTACGTTGACAGCAAAAGTAAGTGAAAACGCCATCACTTAATTTTGCTCACTTCTGCTGTTGCTGTTAGTGAACACATAATCCGTAAATATCTTCTTTGGAATTGGTTCTTCCACTCAGAATATTCAGTAAAACTTTGTCTGGGAAAATCAAAAAGCCCTAGGGCCGAATCGTTTCCCAAATACCTTCAACATTAGCCGAGGCGGGCCGAAGTCATTTCCCAAATGCACGTGCTAATGTTAAAGGGATATCTCGGCATGTGGTAAATGCTTCATATTAACCCTGGACCTGTTTAGCGCAACAATATGTATGCACATATTTCTTGTCATTTTATTTTTCACGCGCTCGTAAAAAGGACGCATGCGTGCATGGGCGTAGGAACGGCTGGAACATTGTGGGTGCATGGGTGCAGAAATCCAGCCATGGCCGGTGAAGCAGGGGGGGGGGGGGGAGCGACACCCGAGCGAAGGCTCGTTGCGAGCTTTGAGGGTGTACCATGTCGAAAAGGTACCGACCTATAAGTGCATTTGGAAGCATTGACCCTCGCATGTGTAGGGGTGTTGGATGACCCCCCCCCCCCCATGGTTTTCGCAAATAACTCGCGCAAAAAGCGACCGATCGCGACAAAACTTTTAGTACCCTCGGGTTGATCAGTTTTACACCTACTTTGAAAATTTCATGACCCTGAATCAAAAGACCTTTGACCTGTGACCTGATTCTCGAGACCATGTTCGGCCTGAATCGCGATTTGGCGTATGTCAGCTCACATTATCCGCGCGTTTCCAGTCTTTTTGTGATTGTAGACGTCCAAACATGTGAAATGATGTTCTTCCCATGCATCACAGTGGGTGTGAAGGTCACCTGAAGGTCAGGTCATGTCATTTGCCTTTGATGACCTCGGTTCACTTTTTCGAGTTTTACTTGTTTCTAGGGTAGTTTATCGGGCTGATTTCGAATTTAGCATCCATTTGAACGTTTACGAAGTAGTTTTAGTGCCTTCGTAACAGGGCTGCGGAGTCGATGGATTTTAGAGTGACTCCGACTCCGACTCTGGCTTCAAAAATCGACTCCGACTCCGACTCCAACTCCGACTCCGACTCCGGACGGTTCTATTTAAAAATCCAATCATGGTATTGAAGTTCATAATGGGGATGTTTTTATCTTGCCTGAAACGATCCCTTGTGCTGCCTTCCAAGACTTTGCGTTGCAAATATGTATTAAAAATAGCACGCATAATTAAAAAGCAGGTTCTGGGGTATTCACCCTCTTCTACTTCTTTCGCTGAAAACGTTCGTCCAATACAGCAAAATTGCCTTTTTTCGACAAAATCTAATTTCGAGCGCTGTATCGTCAACCAAATAGGTGCAGTACATGACGTCGACCCATGCGGCGTTAACTCCGACTCCGACTCTGGGCAGAACTGTCGACTCCGACCGACTCCAACTCCGACTCCTACTCCGACTCCGCAGCCCTGCTAGTTCGTAACATGCTACGACGCCGTCAGTGGTAGTTGACACCTACTATGGATAGCCGGTAGGACGCCTAATGGTTGACCTGACCTGACCTGACCCGATCTGGCCTAAATGCATGAAGAAATCATCTGTGATCAAAACTAACATCAAATATTCGTGATCAGCACCCCGAAAAACCCGATAACAGCTTCACTTTACGCAGTTCTAGCAGGTCCCGATTTTCCCGACTTTTGGAATACCTATTGACCTGACCTGGAAGGTCAACAAATGACCTAGGACCTTAAAATTGGGTATCATCGGCTTCCTCTTGTCACGGGTAATACCCTCGTTTTTTTTTCCGCGAAGCTCTAGCTCGATCAGGGGCCGAACGGCAGGGGGGTCCGACCGACCCCCCCCCCCCTCCCCCTACACATTAGAAGCTGGAAAACGCCGCACACATGCGAGGGTTGATATTGTCAATATTGACTACCGCAAAAAGTAAAAGCGGCCAACTTAGCCATTTTCGAAGATATCGGGCTAAAATTTTGACAGTGGGTCATCGGGTCGATATGTGTTCAATCACATGCTCCATTTCCCTTTTTTCCAGCACAAATGTAAGTTTTGAAGACCATCACAGTAGCAAATGCTTCGAAAGATGGATAGTAGGCAACATATCCTGAATTTGCCGTGCTGCATGGGAATTGGGAAGTAGTGTTGATGAGAAAAGGGGTTTTTGGTTCAGATTATTGTGGGTGCAGAATACATTGTCTGCACCCACTGGAGAAATATTGTGGGTGCAGCTGCACCCTTGCACCCATGGTTCCTACGCTTATGCATGCGTGCATTATAAAAGTACTTGCATTGTGACTCACGTTGTCATGCATTCGTTGACGAAGAAATCATTTACAGTGACAAAAGAATGACAAAAAACTGTACTACTAATACCAGTAAAACGCCTTTTGGGCGAAGCACGAGCGAGCGAGATAGTGAGCCCTGCACGTGCGGAAGGGCGAGAGGGTGCTTCCAACGGGCTTGTGCAAAGCATCCTTCTAACCGGTCGCTAGCGGTGTGCCAAATTTGAACGCAATCGGCCCAGCCGTTCCTGAGATCTGGAAGCGGCATTCTGCACGTGCGCACGTGCAAACGGGGTCCAAAATGACTTTTGCACGGCACCCTACTAACTAGTCCCCAACCGTGTACCAAATTTGAGCGCAATCGGCCCAGCCGTTCTCGAGATCTGGAAACGCCCCCTGCACGTGCGCACGTGCAGTAGCACCCTAACCGCAACACATGGGAATGCATTGCCTGGTGGGTGCCTACCTGTATGCCAAGTTTCAGCGAAATCGCCCCAGTAATTACCGAGTTACTGAAATGGGAACAAATTTGGCACCTCTTATTGTTGTATTTTGCACGTGCACTGGGGGTGACCCACATACATCGAAAGTATCCTATTTTGGGTAGAAGGGATGCTGCTACCCTACAAAAATTACCGCAAGTCAATCGCCCAAGCGGCTGCTGAGATATGAGCCTCTCAAAATCACTACTTTTGCAAAACAGCTTGAACACCCTTGACTTTTCACGTGGCACGTGCCACGACGGTCACTGAGATGTATCAAAAGTAGTCAATTACGGGGTAGAAGGGATGGGGCTACCCAACAAAAAAGACCGCAGGCCAATCGGTCCAGCGGTTGCTGAGATATAAGCCTCTCAAAAGCGTTACAGGCCGGGCCGGGCCGGGCCGGGCCGCTCATACTGAGATTTTTCCGTTATATTGAAAAGACTCACTTCGCTCGCTGCGCTCGCTCGCTCGTAACAAAACGAAATTGATCTTGTCTTATCTTAATTTGAATTTGACGTATTCGAATTTGATCTTGAGTAATTCGAAATTGCGTTTGACTTCTTCCAATTTGATGTTGGCATATCTCAATTTGAACTTGAGGTATTCGATTTTGCATTTGGCATCTTCCAATATGAATTTGACTTATTCGAATTTGAACTTGACGTATTCGAACTTGAGCCTAAAAAGGTGTACAGTTAGTTAGTGACTAGATTTAACCTTCCAGGCGGTGGGGGGGGGCATTTCCCCCTTTAGTTTTTTCGATATATCTCGAGAACCGCTGCGCCGATCGTCACTAAACTTTCAGTACCCTCCCGGGAGTCGCTAGCGCACATGGTGACCAAAAGTTTTTCCAAAGGCTATGATAGGCTGCCCGCTAATGACGTCAGAGTGACGTCATTTCTGCCATTTTCGACCCAAAAAAAGGTTTCGCGAGAAGAGCTGTCAGGCCTACAGCTTTAGAGATACAGAAAAAATGTTTCAGACATAAAAGGTGTGGAATTAAAAGGGCTACAAAAATGCTGTTTCGAATTTTCGATTTTTTTGGATCTTGGCCCCCAAAAATAAAAAAATAGGTTTTTTGAATATAATAGCCAAAAAAATAAAAAAAATTAATTTCGAAAAAACCGGAATGTATGTGATAGTCCCTACCGCCTTCTATCCACACACCAAATTTGAGATCGATACCTTCTGTTTTGGCCAAGTTATAGCGAAAAAACTGCTCAAAATTGATGACGTCAAATTTTCAAACTCAATTTTTAGCAATTCTAGACCTCGTAGCGCAAAAACAAAGACCACCATTAGACTCCCCGTGACGAGTTGCATCGAATAAATACCCATTTTATGCAAAAATATCAACTTTGAAATTTGACCTTTTTTGACCTGACCTTGACCTGACCTCCACCAGAAGGTGACCTTAACCGTGCCTGATGGTCTTATAACCAACACCATTGAGTTGGAAATGAAAAACTGGCCATAAAACATGCATCGCACAACCTTAGTAAAGTTGGGTTCATGTGGTGACCCTTGGTGACCTTTGGTGACCTGACCTGTGACCTGACCTGGTATGACCAGTGACCTCTAATAGCAACATATGTACTAGACAACTGACGCCCTATCGCTGATTTTCGACAAAATGCGTTTTACTCGGTGTTATAGCGCTTTCCCTAGAAGCCCGTGAACGGTGAAACATTTTATCTTTGACCTGGCCTGTGACGTCATCGGTGACCCCGAGGTCAATGAAATTTTGTTTCCCTCGACAAATTTGACAGGGCTATCGAACGCCGTTTAAATTTTCCAGATCCGTCCAGTAGTTTCGGAGATACGAGGGGTGGGGCAAAAAAATGCCCCCTCCTGGAAGGTGGCCGGGAGGCCCACCGCCTGCCGGGTTAAGCTTTTGTCCTGTCTTCCCCGTATCTGATGATCTCACGATAGGTCTGCGCCCAGGTCTGAGCTCCCTCTTCATAAACTCATGTTCTTACACTACCCCTCCACTGTCTGTCCCCAGATCTGATGCGTGGTGAGCTGCACGTGCCAATCATGTCTGCCGAGGAGGCACCGGACCCGCAGCTCGACCTGCTGACAGCTCTTACGGAGAATGTGGACGCGCTCCGCCAGAGCCTGGCGCGACCTGGCGTCGACCTGAACCATGTGTACAAACCGCCATACAGTGGCACGGCGCTACACTACGCCGTGCGTCACGGTCAGGCGGCTGCCGTAGCTGCGCTGCTCGCCGCTGGGGCTCGCACTGATGTTCGCGATCGAGCGCGTCTAGTGCCGCTTCACCTCGCCGTGAAGGGTGGACACGATGCCATCGTGCGCGCGCTGCTGGAGCACGGCGCGGACGTGAACTCGCAGGATGAGGAGGAGCGAGGCGTGCTGCACCTTCTGGCGCTGCAGTGGGGCGACTCGCCGGCCCAGTGTGAGCGCGTGCTGGAGACGCTGCTGGCCGCGCCGGGACTGGACGTGGACGGACGCGACTGCAGCGGATGCTCTCCGCTGCTTCTGGCAGCGCGCCGTGGAGCTGCCGAGCTGTGCCGCCGACTGGTGGAGCGTGGCGCCGACCTCGACTGCCGCGTGGGACCGCACTGCGCGCGCGACCTGCTCCAGAAGAAGTTTCCCTGGCTGCTGGAGGTGACGCCCACACCGGTAGAGGTGGTGGAGCGGGAGCCCGGTCGACGGCTTTACGAGGCTCTGCGAGCCGGTGATAAGGCCGAGTTCTCCGCCGCGCTGGCCCGTGTTCGCGCGCTGGACGATGATGCGCGTGCAGAGGCGTTGGAACGCGCTCACGGCAACTTCACGTGTCTGCAGTTCGCGGCTGATAACGGCCTGGAGGAGGAGATTGGCGAATTGCTGGAGGCGGGCGCGGACGTCGGTTCCTCCAGCTCCGGCTCCGGATCGCCAGTTGAAGTGGTCACCGGAGACCGGCGTCCCAGCGCGTTCTACTACGCCTGCTACCACGGCTACCACCAGGTGCTGGAGAAGCTGCTGGAGGCGGCGCGCTCCAGCGGCCGCGAGGTGGACCTACTGCAACCGGACGCCACTGGCGCTACGCTGCTTCACCAGCTCACCCGGCGCGCTCCACAGCAGCGCGCGGCCGACCCACGCGTGGACCCAGCCCGCTGTCTGAGAATGCTGCTCGGCTGTGGTCTACCGGTGGGCGTCAACACCCAGGACAGGCGCGGCAACACGCCCCTCCACTTCGCTGCGCTGCACGAGGACCAGAGTCTGGTGGCGCCGTTGCTGATAAACGGCGCCAACATCGGTATCGCCAACCAGTTCGGCACCATGCCCGTGGAGCGCATCCAGCCGGCGGCCATGGAAGCGGCGCTCGACCTGTCGGTGCGTGGCAGCGACGTGGCTCCTGCAGACCACGACTTCTGCATCAGTTTCCACTACGACTGCCTGGTGCCGCCGGGCACGGGCGACTCGCTGCCGGCCGCCTCCGAGACCGCGCCGCTGTTCTTCGTGGGCCAGTCGCGGCGCCACCAGCGACTGCTGCATCATCCGGTCCTCTCCAGCTTCCTCACCGTCAAGTGGCTGAAGATACAGCCACTCTATCTGTTGGCTGTGGCGCTGTACGCAGTGTTCGTGGCCATTCTCACGGCGTATGTGTACCTCGAGTTTGACGTGCAGCCGGAGACTGGAGAGCTGCGCCCGTCTCCGCTCGTCTCCGCCGCTGGCCTAATCGCCATGGAGGTCGTTCTCTGTCTCGTACTTGTGCTGCTTGTGGTGCGCGAGTTGTGGCAACTGGCACTCTCTTGGCGCGCGTACGTGTCACACCGGGAGAACATCCTGCAGGTGGGACTGATTGTGCTACTGGCGGTGATGTTGGTAGGTTCGATGTCGCGGCTGACGCGACTCCACATTGCCGTCTGGGTCATCATCCTCGCCTGGCTCGAGTTCGTCCTGCTGCTGGGACGCCACCCCAAGCTCTCGACCTACATCATGATGTTCAAGACCGTTTCGGAGAACTTCATCAAGTTCATCTTCCTCTATTCATTCCTCATCATCGCCTTCTCGATCGCGTTCAACCTGCTATTCCGCACGGACGAGCACTTCAACACGTACTGGCGTGCGCTGCTGAAGACGGTCGTCATGTCCACGGGTGAGATGGAGTACACGTCGCTCGAGTTCACCCGGTCCGCCTACTCAGGCCACATCGCCTTCTTTGGCTTCCTCTTCCTGATCGCGCTGGTGTTGATGAACCTGTTGAACGGTCTCGCAGTCTCGGACACTGCTGCCATCCAGGCAGACGCCGAGCTGTACAGCCTGATCGCTAGGGTCAGCCTCATCCACTACACCGAAGCGGCTGTGATCGGCTCTGCTGCGGCCACCGGTGGCGGCTGCTGCGGCGGCAAGGCAGCCTCCGCCTGCCTGGAGAGGGCGCGTCACTGGCTGGCACACCGCGTCCTACTCTTCCCGCGCTGCGCCAAGGGCCGCCGGATGACCGTGCGTCCCAACGCCGACCGGTCGCGGCTCTCCTGCTGCCAGAGCCACACCTTCGGCATCGACAAGAAGGTGGTGGAGGCTGCGCACGCGCTGCTGGCGCGCGGAGAGCACGTGCTCGATGACCGGATGGCCGCTATGGAGCGTAAGCTGGACGTCCTGATGAAGCTGGTGCAGGACCTCAAGGGCCCCGAGAAGGCCTAAAGAGGTGAAACTTGAGTGCCACGAGGCGAAGCGGGATGTGGATAGCGAACAGATTTCCAACTGAATGCTAGCAGGGCAGAGGTGTTGGGCTCCATTTAGTTGCTCTGTACTCACAGCTTGGGCAGTCGGCTTCCCTAGATGCGGAATGCCTAGGAGAAAGCTTTGGCGACGTCGCTTCAGTTGGGGTGCAACTAAAACAAGGCTGTTGTGCAACTAGAATCCCTGCTGCTCTCCACGGTTTGTGATGCAAAGTGCCAGACGGTGATAAAATCAATGAACCGAAGTGACGTCCCAATTGCTTTATTGGGCTCCAATTGATCGTGATTGGACGGTGGTTGGGGCTTGGGTTGTGACGGAAAATTGCGTTGTGCAGTTGTGTTGGAGTGCAAGGGGTTTGTTCAGGCTCACCTAACCCGTGGAGGGACTGTGGAGAGGCTAGAGTCGGAGTCCTCCAATGTAACCGCACTAGACTGATGATATCCACGCATAGCTGTGCCTCGTTGTCTAGTACCCATTGTTGCCTTATTTCGGTCATAAGGAGGCTTGGAAATGAGGTTGCTAAATTATTGTGTCGGAAAGCTAAGCAGTCGCCGGTGGACATGCAATTACGACATCGCATTGCAGGAAACGAATGTGCCTTCCGTACCTATTTGTTTTGTAGTAGGTAAGTAGTTACCTTGTATTGTCTGTTGATGCACTCTACGATAGTGTTAGATTTATTCGCAATCTCTTGTAGTGCTTTTTGGAGGACCGTTATTCGCGATCTCGCTTTCTGAGGCTCCAGGCGTTGCCTTGCTATCTTTTAGTGTTGAATCGGGCCCTATTGACGATCTTTTTGTATGTAGATTGCAGCTCGGTACCGCTTTTACCTACTGACATTGAGCGGGTGATTTATCACTCTCGACATTCCTTTGAGCGTTCCGTCGTCTGCGATCTGTTTCTGTCGATGGACACTTCGTTCATCGCAAAGATTGAGAACGGTGCAACATGACGTTGGAATACAAGCAGTATTTTAATAGCAATGTGTGTCACAGTCATAGGCGTCGCTAGATATTTTCGGTTGGGGGGGGGGGGCAACATCCGTTTTTGTGTTAGATCTTGCCTTTCTCCTGTCGTTACTCACTCGTTTTACATATCATTCGACGCGCAATGGTGCGAAGAATGCCGTGGTGACATGTGTATCCTTTTAGCTATGACATGTATTTTTTTCTTTACAAAAAAAAATCCAAAATTTCTATAAGCTTGGATAAAAAACGACGGGTAGAATTATTGTACAATGGTTGCAATTGCCGACCAACTCCAGAGGGCCCCTGTGCAGACGCTCGTCGCTCATGATCATCACCCAGAAAAAGTAAAAACGCTCCATTTAAAGATCACCTTGCTGAAACATACATTCACAAATGCAGAGGTTCTACGTAAAATGCATAGAGCTTATTCCAGCCGCCGATTGTAGCTAAGCTGGACATTCGGCGGAGAGTGAATGTGGGAAGTGTGAATCGGAAGTGCTTCATGTTTGCTCCAGTGACAGCAAGTGTTTTGTTCACACTCTCTCGTTTTTCGTGTGTAGGGAAGCGCTGCAAACGCGAACAAAAGAAAAAAACGTTTAAGGAACCAAAAAATGCACACGGCATAGTGGCAAGGGATCCCTTAGAGGCGGGCAGCGAGCTGGGATAGTCCGACCATTGTGGACCGCTCAGGGTCAGTGTAGACTTTTAGAAGCCTGCTTAGGATCCTGGAGATTGCGGCGTGGATCGCCCCAAACATTGACATGTAGGCATGTGAGGTTTTAGAACTTCCCGAGCCCAATGTGGCCGGTGGGGCCCTTAGAAGCCCGTGTGGGCGGCGGGCGCTAGGAGACCAAGCCCAGGGTGAGCCTGGAGCCCTCAGACAACAGTATGAACCCGGCTTGGGGTCTGTGTCGAATCCCTAAACACGCTACGAAGGGACATAAAAAGCATGTGTTGGGACCTTCACATGAGTCGTGACGCCTCAAATGCCGGCTTGGGGTCAGCAAAATCTTTCGTCTCAAGAGCTCGGCTGAACTATCAGAGGTCACTTAAGGTTCTAAGAAATTTTCGAAGGCATTCTAAAAGATCCGCGTGGCCCTTCACGAGGTATATGTACGCATGCATGAGGTCCTCAAAGATCCCTGTATGGGCTCCTAGAGAATACGGGCACCAGTGGGACTCTCAGAGACCGGTTTGGGCACTCTGAAGGCTTCTTAGAGCTCAAGTGGAGCTCCTTAGGAACCTGCATGAAAAGCAAGCTCATGAACCCTGCGACACTTGAACGGTACTTTAATCCTCGCCCCGTTGGGGGAGGGCAATTTGGTCCCCTGTGGTTTTTCCTGAATAGCAAGAAGACGGCGACGTGCAGCGCCGCCAAATTTTTAGCAACTTCCCTGGCATCAATTTAACACTTTCACACATATTTCAAGTCTTAGGTCACCTTAGGTCAGGATTTATTGAGGTCAAACTGAGGTCATGTTCGAGTACACAAGAGCAAAAAACATGAAATCTTGAAACGCTCACAAAAGCTACAGTTAACAAACAATTTTTCAAAGTTCATGTAGAGAAAAGACGGCGCTACAAAACTGCCATTTTTGATTTTCAAAGTTTTGGGATTTTGACTTCCAAAAAATGAAGGTTGATTTTTTAGCAAAAAAAAATCCCAAACGTTTTTCGAATTTCGGAAAAATTGGAACATATGTAAGTCCCTGCGCTCTTGTATCTACTTAACAAATTTTAGATCGATGCCTCCTTTTGTGACCAAATATAGCGAAAAAAAAACTGTTGAAAATTGATGACGTCAAATTTTTAACTCATTTTTTTTGCAATTCTAGAATCTAGACCACCAGCGCAAAACAAAGACCACCATTGAACTCCCCGTGACGCGAACTGCGTCTGCATCAAATCGATACCCATTTTATGCAAAAATATTAAATTTGAAATTTGACCTAATTTGACCTGACCTGACCTTGACCTGACCTTCACCAGAACATAATCTTAAATGGCCCAAAGGCTGCCTGACCCACACAATCGCACTTGGCATGTAAAACGGACCATTAAACAGGCATCACATGATATTTTCATATTGTGACCCTCAGTGACCTGACCTCTGTGAGCTGACCTGGTATCAGTGACCTCAAATAGCAAAATATGTGTTTGACGAACAATTCCCCATCGACGATTTTCAATGAAATGCATTTTGCTCGATTTTCCAACTGTGAACTTTGAAAATTCGACATTTGATCTGACCTGTGACGTCATCGGTTTGACTGAGATCAATGAAATTAGGTCACAAGGTAGTTCCCCGTTGGGGCTATCCAACACCGTTTGCTGCTTGTCGCTATGTTGCGCATGGTTCTCGAGATCTTAGGGGGGGGGGGAATGCCCCCTCCCCTCCAACAGTTGCTCCGCAGACCCCAACGGGGTGCGGGGTAACGTGTCGCAGACATTTGACCAGATTTGAGAAAGGCCCCGAACCATGACACCGAAGATTTTGCGTCACGCTTTGCACGAAAATTTTGTGTCGGCACTTCAAAACTTATGTGAAGCACTACGTGAAAGTACCTAGGTAGGTTCAAAGCTCTCCAGTGCCTATGGATGAGTTGCGTCTAGCCGTAGCATTTCTTCAATTAAACCGACTACTTTTCATTTTATTCAATAAGCGGATTGTTTTCATTTTACCACTTCTTCCAGTCTTTGGCATAGGGCATCATGCGAACTCTTCTTTGGTGAAAAATTGTTAAATTTTCCTTTGAATAGCTCGCGAATTAGCTGGGCCACAGACTTCTCTATATATGGACTGTGCGTTGATCCGAGGAAATCAGCATTGGAGGCCCAAAAATAAGTGCACTTTTATCCATCTTTTTACAATGAAAAGGGTGTCAGAATATTTACAAATATGGACATAGGATAGCCCATACTTTTATCTACCTGTCGAATTACATTTTTTTGTTGAATTCAAAATAAATAAGAAATAAATGTATATAAATGAGAACATGTTTTCTCGTTCAGTTAGCCATTTGTTCACGCTGGAGGTATATACTTCACAAATGCAGCCGTACTTTGCGCGCATTTTCTTGCTTTTGAATGTTGGTTGCATTGTTGGTTGTCGTTGCTAATTTGTCGGAACTAGTCATTTACGTTGGTTTTGAAAAGGGTTTTGAGAAATAACGATACATTATATAGGGCCACAAGAAGCAGTAAAAATAAGTAAGAAATAGCTCGAAAAAATGGTCAAAAAAGGAAAGAATATTATCGATCACTACCTCATCACGACCGGATCAGAAAACGTGTGGTGCGAAGATGTCATTCCGGGTATCAAGCCAGAGTCAGGGCAAGAAAAATGTGAAACATAACATAATTTCTAGCAAAAAGGCAACTTTTTAGCCTCCCGTATAACTAAAAGGAAAAAATGTTCACAAACGAAACCATCAATCGAGATAAGAGATAACGCTGAGGACAATCAGATTTGCAAGTTTACTTTTGCAAACACCGACTCCTGTGAGACTCACACAGCAAGAAGAAAAACAGGACGCTATCGACGGCGCCAGTCTCAGCATACTTCCTATAATGCCTAGTGCCTTATTTCATTCTGGAGAAAAAAAAGACTCACTGAAAGGAGCTACAAAGACTTAACTTGACCAGCAGTTAATGTGAAAAGAACAACTCGCATCGCAGTTCGAAGCTACGCCGCGCTAAATAATGCCATACCCACGGCAGTGATACGCCACTACATCCAAAAGAAGTAAGCTTATTCAATCAAACAATGAAGTTTATCCAGTGTGTCGTATGGGGTTGTAGTTCATTATGGTCTGGATCAAATCATCTCGGAAGAATGCTCGATGAAATGATGGAATTCGTACCCTTCGCATCAATGTTAAACGATGAAGGTTGCCGCTCTTAAATGTTACCGCAAAACTTGCATCGGGATCGGGAAGCTCAAGAATACGCCAGTCTGCGAAGAGCGGACGGAAAAATAGCGGTGGAGCAGAAACAAGATGCATAGGACTGATTGGAGTATAAGTAGCTGGGACAAACATCTGTGCCGGTGGTGGCCTGTTATTACAGGAACTTCTACTTTGGATGTCTCAGGAAACTGGCAGGTCACCATTTCTAGGCCAGCTGTGGACATTTTTGATGGAGAAGCCAAGAAATGTCCCAAGGGCGAAGAGCATACTGTAACTAACGAGCTACAGAATATGACGGAGGCGCCGGGGGAACTAATCGTTTGGCCGAACGGGGAAGAGCACTCGATCCGCGCCCCGGCAGGTTACCTGTGCTCCAGCTTCCGAGCTGAGATGGTCGCCCTCCGAGCTGCTCTCTCCTAGCTGCTGGAGAACCCGCCGCACGCCGAAGACACCATCGTAGCCTGCACCGACTCGCAGTCCGCCCTCGCCGCCATCCGAGGTGGCTGGGCCGCCCAGCACTCCTCGCTCGGAGTGGACATCTGGAGAGCCCTCTGGGGACTGACAGCTGGAGGCCTGTTGGTCTACCTACAGTGGGTGCCCTCACAATGCAGGTTGGAAGGCAACGAGAGGGCCGACACCATCGCCAAGAAGGCAAACATACTCGACTAAAAACAAATCCTTATAGACGTCCAGAAGGCCCACTGGGCCGCCGCCAGAGTGGCGAGGGCTCGCACCGTCGGGGCCTGGCCAGCCGGCTGGTTCCACCAGCTGACGGGGATCGACTCCCGCCTACCGTTGCCGGCGGCGACCGGCCAGCGGCGGTGGACATCCACCAGCTCCGCGCCGGCCACTGGACAAGCTCCTCCCAATGGCGCCACAGAGTCGGGTTGGCGCCCTCCTGGCTGTCGGGGTGCAACCAGTGCGACGACCGACAATGCAGAGCCGCACTCTACCCGTCTGCTGAGAGGAGGCGGACAGCCCAAGCATGTCCTCCTGCGGTGCCCGGCTCTGATGGGCACCCGACATCGCCTGATGGCGACCATCAACCCCAACATGGAGGAGGTGCGGAGCGGCAGCATCGTGGTGGCCCTGGGGGCCGCCCA